TAATCTTGTGTTGTGTCAAATGTGCCAACTTGCATTGTTGTGGAGAAGAACACCTTTCTGATTGATGAGCGAAGGGCATTTCTGATGAAGGGCTTTCTGTGGATGGAGTTCAGGTTTTGGGGTCAGAAGTGGTTTTTGTCTAGGACTGAGCCATTGTTTTTGGTGTTTAATATTCACATAAAGAATCCATTTTTCAGCACCGGTGACAAATCTGTCAAAAAATGGTTCACGAGCATTATGTGCCAGAAGAGACAAAGCAACGTTCACATGTTGGAAATGATGATCATCGAAAAGTTTGAGGCACCCAAACACCTTCTTTGAGGAGTTTTCCCATATTCCTTAGATGTTTATGTATTGTTTCATGAGAGTCATGCAATTTCAGAGCCATTTCATGAGTGTATTGCCTTGGGATAGTCTCAACAAGCGTCTTCAGAACATCAATATCAATTCCAACATGTTGGCCCCTGCCATCACAGTTTTTAAGGCTAAAGTCACATGAAAGAAATTTGCTGAACCATCGTTGACACTTACGAACATTCAAAACATTTCCATAAACTTCTTTGATATTCTTTGTGGCTACGGAGACGTTGTTTCCCTTCTTGTATTCAAACAGCATTACATGCCGAATGTATATCTCGTCGTGTGCCATCACTATAAGGGATTAGAGTATACTAAACTTTACACATTATATAGGCTACACTAACGTGAAGTTTAGGCAGTTTGTTTAACTATTGTATGTAATGTACGTTTTTTTTTGGTGGTGGTGGGGGGGAGGTAATGAAAGTGTTCCAAAAGGTGACATTAATTTCTTGACGACCTAGTATTTTGTCACAGAGAACTGTTATAAAGCTTTCCCAACAGTGATCAATTTTTGGTGGCATTCCACTAATGTCAAAATATAGTTTTGATACATGCCATTTTTAATTGCAACTTCATATCAGCTTTGTTTGTCACATGCCTTGCTTATTTGCATATTTTTTTTTGTTGCTTCCATCTGATTGTTGTATCCCCCATTTCTTGTTTTATGCACACAGATATAATTTTGTATAAGTATAATCCAACAGTTTGATTTGGGAAAATCTTATATATAATAAAAATTCTCATGTATACAAGAGAAATTAAATAGGTTAATAACTCAAAAACTACAACAGCTATTCACTATGAAATGTGTTACGAGATAAAAAATACTAAAAAGATAACTTTTAATTTATCAACTAAAACAAATTACTAATGTTAGTGCCCCTGAGCTAGCCAATTTGAAATTCACATCACTTAAAGCCTATTTTTTAAATTCAAAATATACAAAAGTAGACCAATATACTATATATCTTACATTAAATACACTTAACAGATTTTGTTACACAAGGAGCCTTTAAATTATGCAGTGTGGTCAGCTTAAACTTAATATTAACTTCTAATGAGATCAAGCTACCTACTTAGAGCAAAACTAAATATAAAGCCTGTATTGAGTATAGCTAACTACATGTACTATTCTTATGTTCTTACTTATAAAGATTAGAATGCAGTCATTTAGAAACCCTGAATGTTAGTGATGTTTTTGGCTGTAAACCTATAACATCACACAAGGTTTAGCCAGCTTAAGTGATTTAGCTCAGTTTTAAATCCATATACTAAGCTAACAATCCAAAATAATTTCTATAATAAAAATAGATGTATTAAACAGTTTAACTAATACTGTTAATGAAAGAAACCTTTAAAAAAGTTTATAGAAAAGTGTTTTCTTCAACAAGATTCAAGTTTAATATGTCAAACTCCTCTAAACTTAAAGACTCAAATAGTTATTCCACTAATTTGTGCAAATTATCACCCCCTGAGTTAAGTTAGGATGTGTTAATGATCTAAGCTTATTAATGGTGATATTTCACAGCATGAATCTTGCAAGTTTCTAGCATTTCTGTATCACAAAGCAACAGACCAACCTTTCTTTTCAGTTTTCTGATACACCTCAGACAGGGGAGACGTATAGAAAGACAACATTAATATTCAATTTGTATACATAGTTCTATACTACTACTGGTAGTTTGCCAAATTATTTGTATTATGTGTATTTGCATTACTGATATCTATAAGTAATATTTAGATCATTGAAAGTCTTCTTAAATGAGAAGATACTAAGTTTTTAATTGTTATATCACTTTACATTGGTTGGAAAATTACTCAAATATTTTAATGTTATAATTAAGATCACAATATTACAATGATGTAAGTTTTTTTATCTTTAACATCCTAAAACAAGCAACTTTTTGTACAGTTGATTTAAAACTAATGGTAGAAACAGGCAATAATTTCTTTTCACTTAATAAAAAAGGTTTATAAACATAATTATATGAATAACATAACCTTACTTCAAGTAAACATAGCTATTTCAATAACATCAAGTTTCTTCTAGTAAAAAAAATGTTTTATAAACATAACTTTGTCATCAATAATATCAACTTTCTTCTAAACTGTTTTTAGCTGGTTTTCACAGAAAATAGTTTTACTTAAAACCTTACTTCATTCACAATTATTTCCAGATCCTTAAGTGTTTGTGCCCTTTTCTGTTTTTCTACTTCCACAAAATGAAGCTTTTCTTTGATATGAGTTAGGACTTGAATGTTGTTTGTGTACTTTCTCTGGAACTTTAGAAGGTCCTGTAATGGTTAGAAGGGACATTAATTGTTTTAAATATTAATATACTTGGTATACATATATGCACTCATGTGCAAATTGTTACCACATGTTTATAGTAAAAATAATAATTATTATTAAGAAATGCTGCTCCTGTTCCTATTAATATCTCATTAGGTTAAAATAAATAATATATCATTAGAGACAGCAGAAGGGATATCACTTCAGGTTCCACATTAATGGCTGACAGAGGCAAGTGATTTTTGAGTGTTACTCATGAGCATTATAAGAGGAAAATGGTTGTAGAAATAGTAAATGAAATGATAAGATAAAGTCAGTTTTTAAATCCATAACTTTTTGCTCTTGCAAACAACTTTTGTTGAAATATATCTCATTATTTACTCAAAATATAAATCTACATTGCCATAAGTCAGCTATCTTGATCCCTTCCAACCTAATAGATGTATGCATATCAAAAATGTGTGATATAATAAGCATCAAATGGACTTACAGCATTAAATTATTTCAATAAAGATTTATAATAAAATCTAGCAGATTTTGCCACATTAATGTGCAAATATTATAATTATTCTTTGTCTCACAAACATAAAGTAACCTTATATTGTACAACATTATGTATGACTGTTTATGCCACCTAAAGGTGGATGATTAGTGGAATCTGACATATTAGTCAATTACATTCAACTAACTGATTATTCTCACTTGAGACTAATCTTATTTTCAGCTTGTTTTGGGTTTTTAAGACACTTTCGAACTACCTGTCCTTTAATATTATATACATTTTCAGGTATAACAATTTAGGATTAAGTTTACTTTTTTAGTGCTCAAGTGTTGTAAAATGTATCATATAAGCAACTTGTTATTAAACCTCCAAAATCCTGAAAATATATGATTAATATTCTTCTGTAAGTTTCTCCCTACAAATTTTTGCATGAGTACTCTACTAAAACCACTGAGTTTTTGTTGATGAAAGGAAACATAACAGTATTTAATACTTCATGACACTGATAATAAATCAGAAAAATATTAAATTTAGCGGTGACTAATGAGATTACTATTAGGTACAAGTTAATATAACTTACATAAGCTTAATTTGGGAATTATATAAGCACAATAACATCGAGGCAATCAATCACATGGATACTTTAAGTGCACCTTCACTGTGCAAAAGGACAATAAATTTAACAGCACATGCCACTTCACTTGTTAAGAGGTAGAAAATAATAAGTTTATCATAAGCATAAAATTAGTGATTATTTTGTATATGACAATATTCCAGTGTAAAGTGAGCCAAAATTGTATTATTTTGTAGCACAAAAATGTTGATTTGATACATCCCTATTCTTATTAGATTTTTACTTGTCATCACACATTATGAAGATTATATTGCAACTGCAGCTTATGCATACATAATCAATCACAGAGTATGTTTTTTATGATATTATTCTATATGATATAGAGTTCAATGTAGAAGAAAATTGATATATATGTTGTACTTTTGCTTCATTTCCCTAAATAAAATGACTGATAATTGTAAATTTTAATGCCATAACAATTTGTTGATTCTTTTTATCATTTCTTGAAAATCAATTAGTATATTTACATTTGTAATTTATCATGATTTCAGGGTCAAAGGTTCGATTCTCGTTGCCACTAAACATTCTTTCTCTTTCCACCATAGGAGTACTTTATTTCTTTCTTTGTGTTTGGGTTAAGGCAAAGTTACTAAGGCTAACTGCCACTATCCCTAATTTTGAACTACTGATGAGAGGGAAAGCAGGTGGAAATCAGCACCTAATACCAATGAATAGGATTGGTTGTCACATTTTAATGCCTTCAAGATGGCATGGCTCAGTAATTAGTGTGGTTATCATGTGAACTGAGGGTCATGGATTCGATACCTTGTGCCACAAAATATGTTCACTCTTTCAGCTCTAGAGGTATTATGATGATTCAGAAAAAATTTTGCTGATAGAACTGTGATCTTATTCCAGTTTTGTTGATTTTACATTTAAATATATGTAATTATTATTAATTTATGTAGCAGAAGGCTTTGTAATTAACCTTTTCATTTTGACCATATTAAAGTTTTTCTTGAATACTTATAGATGTTATTTCAAGTGTCACTTTCAATATTTAGAGTGTTAAATTACACATGAAAGGAAACTATCATAAATTATTAATGAATGATAGATTATGTCAGTTCTGCATTAAATGAAAAAAATATATACATAAGTAATATTTATATATCAACTTTATCAAAGACAAGTTCAATCTGACTACTGAATGCATGCTGTAACAAAAAGACAATTTCAAAATTAAAGACTTTAAAAATTCTCACTGTTCTATAACTGAAGAAATTCCTGCATTACTGGTAAATAATCATGAAGTCACAAATAAAATTTCAACATTTTCCACGTTGGGTAAATCTTTTAAATAATACTATATTCTGTTCAAGTGTCAGACTGAAAATATACTTTAATCTACACAGCTGGAAAAGGCACACAAACAATTAATAATCAACTTAAACACACAGAATATTTGATATTTTGTAACACTTGTTCCATTGTAAATAAGTTCATATTAGATGTTATTCTAATGTTTTTTCTGTTATTAGACAGTCTTTTTTTTTTGTTGTTGTTAGGCACAAAATTATGCAGTGGGTTATCTGTGCAAGTATCAAGACCTGATTTATAACATTTTAAACACCCAGTCTGATTGCTGAGTCATCAGAGAGTGGCAGTATTTGTTTTAACTGTAATGGTCATAATAATATCACATATCATAAAACTATGTATAAGTATACATACACACATATATATATATATATTAACTATATTTGGTTAGTTTTCTTTTTGTACACACTGCAGATAACACAGCTGTACAGCATAATACATAACACACTATTTTCCTAGACATACATGTTGGTTAGGATTTTTAAAACTTTTTTGTTTTCTTCTTTAATATTAATCTAATAATGAAAATGCTAGTTTTTGATTTACATATGCCGTATATTTATTTGAAAAACCCTTTACATACTATGTCCAAACTCTCCTGAATAAAATTTATGGTTCTCAATGTGTTTATGATGAAATATTGTTCTCTAGGAGAAAATGTTTTAAAAATATAATTATTTTAAATATGAGGTTTTCTTTATAATAACCTTGTGTTTTGCATGAGAGTTTTAGTACAGTATGACATTTATACTGAAGTAAAGTAATTATTCTTGTTTCAATTAACTGAAATTAACTATTCTTACTTCATTTCTTTCCTCAATTTTTTCATGATATGTCTGGTTTTCAATTTTCAACTGCTCAAAGTCTATAAGATGTATTCCTTCACCTAGTTCCTCCTGTTCAAAAAAGTAAACAATTTAAGTATGTGACCACAAAACAATAATCTAATAAAATGTATTTTACATACGTTATCATATCATTATTTAAGCAAAAGCCATTATATGTATCAAAAGCATGTAAAAATGCATTATTTGTTTTTACACTCTCCTCTTAACTGATGAGTTCTGGTACTGAATAAAATGTTTCTTGGGCAGTGACTGGTGGAAAACAAAAGATAAAGCTCAAATGCTATTTTTACATACCTCTGATTTCGAATCTTAAATGGCAAAATTAAGAGGAATGTGAAAAAAAACATTTCTGCAGTTTACATGAATTTTATCACAAATTTTAGGCCTAATCATTTCTAACATGCTTCACCAGCTTTTGGAATTTAAGCATGTATGAATAGAATAAAATATCTTGCTTATTTCCAAAGACATTATTCAGAAGGAAGGTACTGTAAATGGCATAAATCATACTAAATACTAAAGAAAAAATTACAAATGTTTGAAATAATCCATATCTAACATATCTTTCAGAAAAAATGAAAAAGAAAAAATATTACACATGAAAACTAGATTTAAACAAAAGTTCAACTACAAAATACAAAAAAGTGTAAAACTTTTTAAGAATGAAAATTTGAAATTCTATTTTTTCTGAGCTAATAGAAGCGTCTTTGATTCAGTAGAATGACATGCATTTTTTTGTATATTTTTCTCAGTATAGATCTTGACTAATATTTGTAGTTCTATATGATGACAGTTATTTAAAACTGTCTTTAATAAGTTTAGTAGATAGGCAAGTGAGTGTTTGACTCAGAGCTTTCTTGAAAGGAGAACTAAGGCAAGCTTGATCAAGAATATTAGGCATTCCAAAAAGAAAAAGCTAGATTTTGAGTTTAAAGAGAACTTTGGTGAGCTTAAAGAACTTACTATTCTGGTATTAAAATATTGTTTAATCTTAATAGTTCAGGTCAACAGTAAAACTGCTTACCTTATGTAAAAAAAAAATTATCTATGTATAGTTATAAAAATGCTTATTTTGAATAATGATCTTTTTCAAACCTAGCTAGAAGAAGTAAAAATTAAGATTCTTGTGCTTTTAAATTGTGAAACTTAGATCCAGTAACTTGTAATGATGTAGCATGCAAACATACTTAATGTTTTCTCTCTTCTTTAGTTAGTAATGGTAACAATTAGTGTTCATCTAAAATATTTACAAAATTTCAGCACAAACACCCTTCTAGTTGTGCTGAAGTTTTGACAGTAGAATGTTTGTCAAGAAATTTGACTAAATTCTTCTCACTCTAGTTATCTCTGTACAGGGCCATTTCCTTTTGGTATCACATGCATTTTATAATAGGAAAACATTGCTGCAAAGTAGGACACACTATGTAAAGGTGGCCAGTGAACTTTTCTAGCAGAATTTCAGGTAGTGCTTGGAATATATTGTATTTTCAAATAGTGGTTAGCTCTCTAAATCTTAGGAGATTATTATCAGTCATCATCCAGATCTCCTGGCAAGATCTCTCTCAAATCACTAGAGAAATGTGCTGTCCAATGTCTATGTGTTCTTGTCCTTGACTGTGTTATAAGTGAATAAAGAATACTATTACTTTATTTTACATTGTATTTAGTTTCTTTTCATCAACTCTGCTGAAGTCAAATGAATCCAGATTTACTCTGCAATACACTCCCTGGTTGAACCTCTTGTTACTAGTAGATACTACCAAATCTGTTGACCAAAGCAGTTTATCTTGAAATACCATAACAGTTTTCTTTCTGATGTATCTCTGATAAAGTATCAGCTTTTCATTTCTCAGTAAGTCTGTGGGTCATCAAATAATACCAAATATTCCAGTAGAAAGCTTTTGTATACACCAGTGTAGTGTCAAGAATGGATGTCTTAGGTACAATGATTTTCAACAGAAAAGCTAGAAGTATTTATAATAATTAGCAGATTCAGGAAATGTCAAGCAGAGAACCAAATTAACATAGGTGTCAAAGACTTGGAGCAAACACTGCTGAACAATTAAAAATAATTTTTATTCACAAGGATGAATTTCAACACAAATGGTTGTCTTTTAAATTTGTTTTATAACTTTTGACTGCTGGAATAGAGAGAGAGAGAATTTCTTTGTGTCTGCAGAAAATCAGAAACATGTTATATCCCAAAGTTAATTCAGAACAAAAGTTCTTAGTAAGATATCCCACAACTCTAGAGTACCTAGGGCATTATATATACCAAGGGAAGTAAACCCCAAACTACTAATTTATACAAGTATCTGTACCACCACTTGGAATGATCATGACCTCACTCTAGGAGAGTATGACACAGAAACAGAATCAAGCAAGAATAGAAGGCAGTTGTTGTGGTATGTAACCTCTGTCTAAGCTAGATGATTATAGTGTGTTACAAACTTTCTACATCCTGTTTACAAGGAGATTATCAACTACCTGTAGAACACCTGCATAAAAAGTTAGAATGATTTAACTGAACATATCTAAATAAAGATATACTGTTTTTAGTTATGGAAGAATGAAACACTGTAGTTTTTCTGTCAGGTGTGTGTATGTATATATATTTGTAGAATACATGCGGAATAAATTAAATACTGAAATAAATTACACGTTGTTCTCTGTCATTTCTTTTTATGTGAAATGTAAATCTTTAATGGTTGAAAAGACATTTAGAATGTGTTACAACTTGTAACATGATTTAATATAAACTCATTTTGTCAAGGTCTTTAAGACATTAGGACAAATAACTGTACTAGCATAAAAAGTCATAGGAAG